CTCCCTCCCCTCCCTGCCTGCCTGCCTGCCTGCCTGCCTGCCTGCCTCCCTCCCTCCCTCCCTCCCTCCCTCCCTCCCTCCCTCCCCTCCCCTCCCTGTAGAACATGTGGGTCCAGGTTTAGCGAGTCGCTGACCTAATGAGACACAGTCTATTTCGAAATGGAACATGCGTGACATTCAGCTATTGGGAGGGGAGGGTAAGCTCTGAATTCAGCCTGTTTTGGTCTAGCGGGCTCTTTCGGGTTCAAAAGGGTATCAGAGGCTGAATTGAGGGGTGAAGGGCAGAACAAATGGCTTTGTCAGGGTTCGGGTGCGCAGATGGCTTGGGATTGCAGGTGTGCTTCGCACAGCAGCTGGTGTGCGAGATCATCGCTTTCGCCGTGGCAAAGCATGGCTACCGGGCAAAGGCGGTTCTGACAATCCTAGTTGTGAGACGTGCTGGCACATGTTTCAAGATTCCAGGCTGCAGCCCTTCATTCGAGACGCATGCAGAAACAAAAGTGTCTAAGCCGTTTCACAGCCGCAAGAGTGATGGTGGTGTGATGACAGGTGTGGTGGTTGTGATGGTGAGAATGCAGGGAACAGGCAGAAGTCCTGTTAATGTGTTCTGTCGAGAACATTGAGGAGCCGCCAAAGGAAGTCATGTCAGCGGCGATGCAGAACAGCAGAGAACTACCAAGAGCAATCTGTGCATTAAGCGAAAACGGGAACGTGTGGAAAATTCACTTGTCGTGATGACGACATTAACGGCAACTACCACGATTAAGGCGTCAAAGGAAAATAGCACACAAGGAACAAACAGTTCAAGCAAGACAAACTAGCCACAGTAGAATCAACCCAAGCCACCGTGCTAACATACCAGAGAATCAGAAGACTGTGATAACTCAGATTTGCATCTAGCGAGCTTTAACCTGAAAATGGCTCAGTACTGTCAATACCACCGTTACCTTTTCCGCGACTGTCATCCTTTTCGTCCTTCGCCCAACAGTATGAGGCCTGAGTACAACCAGTCAGCTCCATATCACAAACTGCTTGACTCCCTACTCTCAGCTTCAGGCTCCCCGAAAGCTTGCCAGCCCTGCGCTGCAAAGCCGGGACACAGTCTACTAGGTTATGTGCCAGAAAACCTTTGCTACGGTATGGCTAAAGGTGCTGAGAAGACCGGCGCTGGCGATGTCGACCGTACCTATGTCAGTGGTAAAGAAGCCACATGATAGCAGTGGCATCGTGGCAAGGTGCCGGCAAACAACATGAAATTCCACAGGGGCAGGGCTGAACGTTGTGATAAATATCACGATGAGTCATTGCGGAGGCCATCGATAGAGTGCAGGCTCTGGGACTGATGATAGCAGTGGGGATACTTACAACAACCAACGACAGGAACACCGATCGGAATGGCAATGCGAAAAGAAATCAGAACGGGTAACTGTAGTGGCTTGTGGCCAGAAGGATGGGTGTCTTGTTGAACAACCCTCGTTTTCACGACAGCAGCGGGAAGAGGTCTGGGGCAGCCCTCGGGCTGCTGCTAGAGAGGACCTGGCGGATCCTTGAGAGGAGATGCGCTGCATTATGTTGCTTTAAGTCACATACATATGGTCTGTGCACTAGCATGTTGAACGCAGTACGACGACAGGTCTTCGTGATCCGCCATGGAATAGGACAGCAGCTGGGCTGCAGTTTCTGCTGGTGGACCGGAGCATTCCCGGACCGAGAATTCATGCTCTTTTACTATCTAAGACGTGTCAGGCTTATGGTAGCAGCTTGCCACCTCAGGAAATCACCAAGAAGACACAAAAACCTGCCCACAGTAAGAAGAAGGCGAACAGATGCAACAAGAGCACGAAGGACAGAGGTTGATGATGGTAGCAGAGAGGTTGGAAATTCCTTCTATTCACTCTTGCAAGTCTTTGTTTTCGGGTTATTTGCAACCCTAAACCCTATAGGGATTGAAGTACTTTCTGTGTCCAGCAGTTAGAGCGGTATGCTACATGGCAACCTTTCAGATCATTCGTCCAGACGCAGACGCCACGTGTACAAACCGTAAACCTTTCCAAGATCAAAGCAAGTTCAAAAACCATCAGCTTTTCGTGCAAAGATACCGAAAGCCTCGCTTCGCGATTTCATTAATGTGCTAAGGCAGGTTTGCAGACTACTGAGCGCATCTCGGCAGCAATGTCTTCGCTCCCCGGATCTAATACATTACCATCGGCTTCAGAGTAGGACGCCACGGAGATGCAGCGGATGCGGTGCTACATGTTTGTGCCCTGAACCCCGATCCGTGTCGAATGAGATCTTGGTGGCTTTGTCTTTTGGAATAGGCCCTCTGCTTTCAGCTTCCAGCGCTAAAGCATGCTAAAGCCATAGCCGGAGAAATCGTGTCAACATGCCAAAAACCAGAAATTGTGAGAACAATTCAACACCTACATGTTACACCATGAATGCACCAGTATTTCGAGGCGATAAAAGCCAGAAGCGCCAGACTCTGAGCCGGAGGCGCCGCAGAAGTACCTGCAGCTGGCCGCTGTCCGCGTGTTGCGTGCCATCATCGGCACAAAGGTGCGTGCCCCAGTCTGCCTGGTGCTTAGTAGGGAATGGGGGAATGGGTTATAGGGACTACTATAAGGGACTATCATAGGGATCCATTCCCCCATTCCCTACGAAGCACCAGACGGCAGTGTGGAGATTCAAGGCTTTTGGGTGCGTCCGTTTTCCGGGAGGTTTTGCCAGCCTAACTCGGCGGACCTCTCATTCGTGGTAGCAGCCGTAGTAACGATAGTAGTCGTACAGTGGTAGTCGTCGTTGGCCGTGATGGCAGTGTAGCAGCAGCGGCGGTGGCAGTGGTCGTGATGGTGGTGGTTACCATCATCTTCATCCCCATCTTCGCGTCCTTTTCCATCCTCGAAGCAACAGTGTCTGAAATGCAACGTTAGGTAACGGTAGTACGACGGTACTATTGTTGTCATGATGATGATGATGACGTGGATGATGGTGATGCGAGCATTTTCGGGTTGTTGTGCATATAGGCATTGCAGGACCACGGCTGTATTGGGTTCTGTGAGTTGGGAGTTGGGTTTCAGTTTGCGAGCCCTTAGCACGGCTTCTTTGTCGGGAGATGCAATGAGACGCATGCTGCTACGAAGCAAGAGCCAAAGAATCTGTTGACCCTGTGAGCCATACCAGTAGCATTCTCTGCAAGCAGCCATGTCACGTACCAGAAAGGGGACCATGATTGAACCCAGTCACTGCATTCTCGAGTCTTTTGCAGGATGAGGCGTACATGCGCTATGTGACAAAGAATGGTCTTCTATCCCAGCTGTTGCGGAGCAGGGCGCTGAGGTGTAAGAGGTGCCCAGCTTGTCCAGCTCATTCGTCACACGTAAATTAGCATCACCGGCATCATCCTTCCTCCTCCTCTCCTCTCCCTCCTTCTCCTCTTCTGTTATCTGTTCTGTGTCAATCCCAATCATCTATCATTTCGATGCTCGTGTCTGGGCTCCGCGAAGTCGCAGGGCCCTGCTCTCAGATAGAAGCAAGGATCCTAACAATGCCAACTTGTAAGACTGCGAGGAGTAGTCCCGGGCACCCGCATTTCATGTAAATTCCAGAAGTCTTGGGGCGATTCTGGGGAAGCATGCGCTTTCGGAGAAGCCTGCGACACTTTGATCGTGGTGTGGCCATCGGTTGGTTTGAAGGCGAAAAGACCTCCGACCTTAGAGAAAATGCTTTACTCTTACCATCAACCTGGGATAGTGGCCTTTTCGCTGAATACGAGCCTTCTTGCTTGCTGTTAACATGGCTTAAAACAAACGGTTCATGCTGACGATGAATGCTGTTTGGTGAGGTAGCTGCCATTTGTCACCATTGTTGTTTTGTCATCATTGTTGTTGATGATGTCGTGATGGTTGCGGCCGCAGAGGCCGTTCCTGTTATGTTTCTCGTGGAGGCAAAGCCTTGCCGCAGTTTGCAGATGTGTTGTGGTGACGGCGGTCATGCCGGCGGCTGACAGTCCACCTCAAAACCCCTCAGCTTCTAAAGCCCGCAAGCCATTGTCTCTTGCTTTGATGAAGGTTGTTGTGTCCTCTGAGGTTTTGAGCAGTGTATCATGCCTCCAGCGTTAGGCCGGCTTTGGGGGGATTTGTGTCTGCAGTCGTAGGATAGGCAAGCTTGGCGTGTGGAGTACGATACACGCCAGCATATTCAGGGGCCATTCAGGTCCCCAATATAGTACGGCACCATTATAAAAAGCACCCTAAAAGGGACCCGAATTTAGAGAACCGCCCACCTACTTCTACAGACTCCTGGAGAGACATCTTTCGCCTTGAAGTTCCGTGGCGGCTTTAGGGTTTAGGGTTTAGGGTTCAGGGTTTAGGGTTTAGGGTTTAGGGAGGGTGCCTATTGCAGTATTCACTGGCACGTAGCTGAGGGTTTCCGGGCGTTTTACAGGGCTGGCAGTCGGTTGTGCCGAAATGGGTCACCTGGATCCAGTTGGAGTTCTTCGGGGTTCTTCTGGACTTTTACATGCATGAAGATCTTCTACAGAGCCAAGGAAAAAGGAAATACTTTACATCGGCTTCATGACTCTTATCTATCAGGATCATCAGTTCGTCAGCTCTTTCAACAGCGTATCCGACAGATTAGCTTGTAAGATGAAGAGGACTGTGGGTGCTTAGTGCATCTCGCCACGAGTGCGATGTGCTGCGAGGGGGCTTGGCCGGGCTAGCTCCAAGCAAGCCTGTGTAAAAAATGTTTTCTTACAGGTTTTGCAGATTTCTGATGTCGGGCGCGGCTTTTTCATCGTGAGGGATGGGGGTGGTGGTGGTCTAGGTGTCTGTGATTTGAAGGGACCCCTAAGGGTCTGACCCCCTCGATGCGGCCAGCTTCCGAAAGAAACTCTGTCCATGATTGGAAAACTTTATCCTCGATTCCTGAACTTTCGTTTCCCGAATGATGCCTTTTTGTTTTGCTCCTAGCACGCGCAATCCGAGCACAAAGAGCAGCAATCTTCGTGGGAGCAGCCGCAGTGTGTGGTAGCAGCCTGGTGCTTCAATATCAGCTGAAGCGAAAGTAGCTGCACTAGCCTGCTGCAGTTGCATTGCCAGAGATGAACCAGAATTTTTGCTGCTTTCGTCTTTCCAGTAGTTGAGGCTCTGTCCGATGCTCCATCCGTAATTGTAATGGCGGTGTCGTGCCAGGGACGAACCTCATGGCCAGCGCCACCTTGGAGCTCCTGGAGTTCATCCGCAGCCAGAATCTAAAGCCCCTGGTGCAACCGGCAACGAATTACGGGTTTCCCTGGTTTAGACAGATCCGGTGAGTTGCCGATGGCATGGTAGGCTCGCTGAGGCCATCATGGAACCATGCCAGTTCGGTTCTTAACGGAGTAGAAGGGATAGGCAAATAGTAGGCACCTGGTGATGGGGCGGGTGACCATCGTGGTGGTGGTGGTCAACCCGAAAGCTGTTGTTGCTGCTTAGTGCAGATAGAGATTCCCCATCACCATCAAAATTTTCACGATCGTCGTCATCACCGCCGCTAGCATGAAAATGACGATGATGATGGTGACAGAAGTGCACTGGAGGTGGTGGTGGTGGTGGTGGTGGTGGCGTTGGCGGTGTGGAATCGTGGCGGCGATGCTTGTGGCAATGGGCGGCAGTAGGGTGGCCCGAAGCAGACTGCAGCTTAACGCTTTTGCCAGATTGAGAGCATCGCCAAGAATCATGGGCCCGGGAGCCTAAGCTTGCTTACCAGTCTTCTCCCTGTTCGGATTGGGACATCTAGGAAGGCTTCCCAAAAGCACTTCATATGGGGTTTGGGACCTCTCGCTTCAGGCCCCCGAGATTGCTCGCTTCAGGCCCGGGCGATACTATAGCTACGCTAATATAGTCCCTATATCTTACAACTGATACCACAGAGCACAACCCATACAACTTCTTCAGAGCCCTTTCTTTTGCTGGCAGTCCTGTGAAGGTTGCAGGCCCCAGGATTGAGAGCTGAACTCTAAACCTTAAGCCCTAAACCCAAAACGCACACATCGAGAAGTGTATCCAAAACCCTAAGCCCTGAAACGTCTAAGGTAGTGTAGTGACCGTTGGTAAGCACTGTCCCCATGACTACGTGAACTGTAGATGCGGCCTCGTGATTCTCGCCCCTAGTTCTGTTCTTTTCAGTTTGATGGTGTCTTTACTTAGTTTGTCGTTGTCTATGCTTGTTACACTTGAGGCGGGACTTTTCTGTACCTACCTAACTGGCGTCTGTAGCTCCGGAGGTCCCATGGGTGCTTTCTAGGCCACTGGGATTCTCCTGCTGCAGACCCCAGGTAGCTTCTGAAGATCGACGGGGGTGTGAGCCTACTTGTTTACTGGTTGGTAGTTGCTTCTGGCTTTGCGACGTTCCTTTAGGCTCATGCTTTCCCTTGGTTTCTGCCTCGGCTCTCTCCGGACACTCCAACGTTATCCCTGCGGTGCGACACTGTCAGCTGGGCGGGTGGAGAAAACAAACCCTAAAAGGTCTGCCAGGCTTGTCCGAGTGTGAGTGTCAAAAAACCCTGAACCCTAAAACCCTAAAGCCCTAAACTTCCTAAACCCTGAACCCTAAAGCCCCAAAGCTCTAAAGCCCTAAAGCCCTAAAGCCCCAAAGCCCTAAAGCCCTAAAGCCCTAAAGCCCTAAAGCCCTAAAGCCCTAAAGCCCTAAAGCCCCAAAGCCCTAAAAAGCCCTAATGGCCCTGAACCCCAAGGCCACTCCTGCAGCGGCACGGGCCGCAAATCAAGCCTCTGGAAGCGCCGGAGCCTGAGATCCGAGGCCAGGCCCGGGGCCGGGCCCTGGCTTTAGGGTTTAAGGCTTCTGGGTTCTGGGGTTTAGGGTTTAGGGTTTAGGGTTTAGGGTTTAAGGCTTCTGGGTTCTGGGGTTTAGGGTTCAAAAAGGCGCATATTTGTGGTATAGTCGGCTTATCCTATCAGTTTTTGCTTTCGGGTGATCTTTTTGATCTTCATGAGCCTGAGATGTATGATTGTAGTCGTCATGCTTATCGAGATCGAGTAAAGGTCGTGTCTTTTCAAGTGTTCCCAGATCAGTGGTTGCAGACAGTGCAACATGCTTCACGTGCTCTGCCATAAGCGCTGGAGTCAGGAGCTTGGCTGAAGGGATTCAGGGCTTAGTGCATTGCAGTCCCTGCTCAAAAAAAGGGTTCAGAAAAGGGTTTAGGGTTTAGGGTTTCTGAGTTCAGGAGTTTTGGAGGTAAGGAGTGTAGGAGTTTTGGAAGTTAGGAGTTTCGGAGTTTAGGAGTTTAGGAGTTTTGGAGAGTTGAGGGTTCGACTTCATGGGCTTTGGGGGGGGGGGGTCTTTGTAGGTTTTCTCAGACTTGGCAACTCGCAGCAGCTCAAGGCCTTCGGGCTCTCCTCCTGGCCCCTGGTGTCTTCAGCTAAGGGTTGAGGGTCTAGGGATTAGGGTTTAGGGATTAGGATTTAGGGATTAGGGTTTCGGGTTGAGGGTTTAGGGACGACGGCAGTTCCGGGCGAGAGAAGCCTGCTGCAAAAAGGGTTGAGGGTTTAGGGTTTAGTGTAAAGAACGCTTTTGCTTTCAGAGGGGGTGAGGGTTTCGTAGGCGCTGGCCGGCACTTCAGTCCGTGCTTAAAAAAGGGTATCTTTACATGGCCTGGCTGGACCCGGAGATCGGCTCCATTAGAATTGGGTACGATCTTGATCACGCAATTTAAACCCTAAGCCCTAAACCCGATAATTTCACCCTATAATTTCACGCACTTCATCTTCTTAGGGCTTCGTGGGACTTCTTAAACCTCGACGTCCTCGTCAGCGCTCGTTGGGGTGATGTAAAGGGGCCTGCTCTTCCTGATCTTACTTCCGGAATCTTTGCGGATTTTGGGGGCTGCAGCTACGTGGTCATTGCATCCTGAAGCTTGGGATGAGCAGTTGAAGTCTCGAGTTGCCGGTTGGCACCAGTCCACATCACAGTGGGCGTTGCGGTTCATGGCACATGCATAGACCAGGTGTAAAGAGGGTTTACGGTTTAGGGTTTAAGGGTTTACGGGTTTACAGGTTTGAGGTGTAGGGAGAGTCTGTGCTTCGTTGCTATCAATCCTAAGCCAGATCTCTAGCGACTCCTCTGCATCTGCCCTCGCCTGCCCAAAGGGAGGCAGATGCAACCCGGCCCCTGCGTACATTTTTTGGGACGTTGATGGCGTTAGCTTCTACCTGTTCTCCCGCAGTCTGTTTAATATTCTGATACAACCCACTCCGGGGAGAAGATACAATCCACCCCCGCAGACCCTATTAACCAACGATAAAGGTTCCCGTATGAAAGAAGGGTTCGCCTAAACCCTAAACCTGGGTTTCCTTGCTTCGCCAGCCTTGCCCAGCTTGCCGAGGCTTCTGCTGAAATACCAGCAGAACCTGGAGGCCAGATCCCTTGAGGGCTAGAGTTTAGGGTTCCGGGCCTAGGGCTTAGGGACATCCTCGACCGCCAAAGCCGTAAGGTTTATCCTAAAGCCTTTGGGCAGCTGGCCCGAAATCCCTGGCCCCAAAGCCCCAAACCTCATCCTGAAGCCGTACCCATAAGCCTGCGCCTGCACCCCTAAGCTTCGGCTTCAAAAGCTTTGGGCTTTAGCGCGTAGTTTCGAATGCAGAATTGGGCTGCCCGAACAGATGCCAGCATATCCCAGCGCGACACAGCTACTTTAATGGCTGCTAAGCGTTGGGTTTCGGGTGTTGGAGCGTAGGGCTCAGGCTTTGATGCCAGGAATGCAGGGAACGAGCTCCCTGAAACTACAACGAACTCCTAACCCACCACCGCCAGGAGTTGCGAGCCCACTACCCGAAGCACTGCAGCTGACAGAGTTCTAGACCCAGCAGTTAAGAGAAAGCCCCTTTCGTGCCCGAACCCAACAACCTTTCAAACCGCTGCTCGAAGAGTGCGACACAAACGGCTCGCAACCAAGCCGCTAGCAGCAGGCAAAATGTAGGAGCACCTTCAACTTTGAAGCACTTTTGCGCTTGCACGCCGCTACCAAGTTCAAGAAGTTGAGAAACAGCTTGTCTCGGGTGTTTCCTCACAGGTCGAAAATTTTCCGCCCGACCAGCACGCAGGGGGGGGCCCCGTGGATGGTCAGGGGCCAAGCCTGTTCGGGGGGCGCTTTTTCGGGTTTGCGGCTTTGCGGGTTGCAGGTTTTGGGTTGATTGAAAACCCTAAACCCTAAACATGCCTCGCTTGGAGTGTCCGATTGTGAGCGCCGAAACCCTATTTTGGCGGTTGGACTCTGCGGAAGAGTTTCGGGTGTGGCAAGCTGGCTTGGATGATTCAATGGTCTGGCTTTTTTGCTGCAGCCGTCAGATGCGTTTCCGACTGTTTTTTTTTGAGTGTTTCTACAAACAAAAGCCTGAAACCGTAAACCCTCAATCGAAATGCATGCAGCCACTGCTGAGGATCTGGTCAGCGGGCACCGAAAAGGCCCGTCTCTGATGTGTTTGTTCAGCATCAAGGGTTGAGTGGTCCGGTCAAGTGGAGCCACATTGAGTGACAGTTCCGTTGAGAACTGTCCTGGTACGGAAGTATATTTTGAGTATTCGTGACGAATGCGGTTGGGTTTGTTACAATGGACAAACCCCAAACCATCCCAAACCCTAAACCCTAAACAGAGGTCCGAAGGGAACAGTAGGCTCCGGCAAGCCTCGGCTTCATGGAGGCAGTCAAAGAGCCCTGGGCGTGACGACTCGGCCGAGGCGGCGGCACTTCCCGCGTTCAAGAAGGGCTCTTGAGGGTTTAGGGTTTAGGGTGACTTTGCGAATGCCGCCTTTACACCCAGTGTCATGCGAAACCAGGGTTTACCGCAGTCGGGGGTCCTGAATGCTATGGCTGAGGATCCTGTTATGCCGTGTTCGATTGACGTTCTATCTTAGAGTCCCCTAGTGTCTGAAACTCCTATTGGAGTTCTGTGTTCTCAAAGTTCTATCCTGCACTGCACGTCATCCATCTTCGCACGCTTGCGGTGACCATTGTGCAAGCCTTTCGTAGGTCTTCTATGGCTTAGACAAACAACCGGCAACCAGCAGCCGAAGTTGATGTTGAGCATGCATTTTTGGTCTACCAGATGTGACGAGAGGACAGTTTCTATGACAGTGACAGAACCGAAGGACGACAGCTACTTTGAGTCGCTGGACGACCCCGACGACGAGGAGCTGGATTTCTGCGGAACTTGAGCCCTGACCTAGGCCGTGTCTCATGCTCCGAAGCTCGACATGCCTTGTACCCTTATCGTTGGACTCTTGCTTTCTGCGTGCTTGCTGCCAACAGCAGTGGAGAATA